TCACAACATGTGCATCAGCCAAGCCAGCTTTAAACTTGGTTCCTCTCATGCTCATGCATTTTCCCCTCAGCAGGCTGAGTTGTGTCCCACAATTCTTCCCCCATCCCAAAACAGGTACAGACACATTTTCATCCTCTATTTTCCTGTCCATCACTAGGTGACCCAGCTGGTGTTGCATATTGTTCTGAACCTGACCACTTAACTGTGGCACTTTGGTTCTCATCCCCAAATTTTAATCATTTAGAATTAACTGGGATCCTATCTTGCCCAGTAAGATCAGCCTCAGAAATTGTCTGAAGCTTTGCCTTCAGCCACATCACCCACATCCTCTAGGGATGCTTGTCTATGGGCCTGTGCAACATCATTGCCTCCCGAATGACCAAGATATTGAACCACCCCTGTTTTCCCAACTCTCCCAGGACAGAGTCCTTGCTGTGTTCGTAGATCTTACACTTTATCTTCATGGAGAGTGACCAAGATCCTAGCCTATCTGCTATTTGAAAACAATACGACAGTGGGTTTCAACCCTCCTCATGCTGCGATCATTTAGCAAAATTTCTCATGTTCTAGTGAACACTGACTGTAAAAGTGTTTTCATTGGAGCATCCTAACTACAGTTTTGCTGTTGTTATGAATCATAATATAAATTGCATTGCTTCAGATGGTCTTTGGGAGGGTCACTTCCCACTGCTTGAGAACACCTTCCCTAAGAAAATATCTCTATTGAATTTCACAGCACCAAGTCAGGTGAGAGTCCAGATCCCATGATTTCTTAGTCATACACCATGCTTATGTAATCTGCACACCAACACAGTCTGGAGAGGGACTAATAATCCGGCAATTATCCCACTACCTTAAACTCTTAGGCCAAGCTGGAATATTAAAGATGCATGGCTACATCTCATGGATTCTTGTCAATGGTCTGGATTTCTTAGAATGTGACCATAACACGCATGTATGTTTCACTAAGGGGCTGTGCAAAATCCTGTATGAGTGACCATCAGAAATGCCACAGTCACACTATTTACTGTAGAGGGATTTCTAGGAAGTACTGCTGTCATATAGAATACATGTATTGTATAGAATACATGAAATGTATAGAATACATTTCAGTTCAACCATAGAGTCTTCTAGTAATGGATCCTCCCACACTGGCTCACACCCTTAGTTCTCACTGGGGCTGTCCTCTAGACATTCAAGCCATGAGAAGTCAGTGCCACATGTCCACAGCTTCTCACAGTGTCATAGGCCCAGGTCTCAGTGATTGCCCATATCTTGTGGTCCATTCCAGCAAAGTGAGGATCCCAGAACTGCCTTCACAGGCCATGTTTCCATTCTCCCAGTCTAGATGGCTATGCACACCATGGGCACTAGACCAGAAAGAGGAGAGCTCTAGTCACAAACATGGCTTCCCCTGAACAGAACACAAAGCAGAGCTGAAGAACCAGGTTCTGTAGGCCAGTCCAATATGATGACGCAAGTACATATGATTGCAGGCCACTAGCACAAGGCAGGGCCTTTTCTTGGTGTCACAACATGTACTCAGCCAAGCCAGCTTTGAACCTGGTTCCTCTCATGCTCATGCATTATCCCATCAGCAGCCTGTGTTGGGTCCTACAACTCCCCTTCCATCCCAAAATAGGCACAGACACATTTTCATCCTCCATTTCCCTGTCTATCTCTAGGTGGCCCAATGGTGTTGCACAATTTTTTGAACCTTACCACTTAGTTGGGGCATTTATGGCACCACTGTCACCAAAATTGACCATTTAGAATCAGCTGGGATGTTTGGTTCACTGTCAGACCATCTTGAGCGATTATTTGAAGCTTTGCCCTCACCCCTGGCATCCACCTCCTCTAGGGATCCCTGTCTATGGTCCAGAAGTCTATGCAACACCAAAGCCCCCTGAGTCACCAAGATATTCAACCATCACCATTGTCTCCACTCTCCAGGACAGAAACCTTGTTGTGTACCTAGGCCTAATAGTGTCCAATCCTGGGGAGCACAAACTCTAACACACCTATTTTAAAACACGTGCAGGTGGATTTAATCTTCATAATTCTTTGACCCTTTAATAAAGTTCCTCATGTTGTTTTTATCAGTAACCATGCAATTATTTTTGTTGAGACTTCCTCAATGTTATTTTGCTACTCATGAATTTTAATGTAAATATCTGATGATCTTTGAGTATTACTATCCCCATGTTGAGAACCTCTGCAGTCATAAGAGGTCTCTGTTGCTTTCTTTGCACAGCCCCAAACCAGGTGAGTCTTTCTGATCATATCATTTCTCAGCCTCTCATACACAAAGGCCTAACTGATGTAATCTATACTCCAACCCAGCCATGAATATCACCAATAACCCAGAATCTCTAATCCCTGCACTCCTAGGCCTAGCCTGAACCTAGTCATTTGCATGCCACCTCTTCATAGATTTCTGTCCTAAGTGTCTCACCTTCTTACAATGTGCCCATCCTTCACATCTATTTGGTAACCAATTACAAAATCCCATCTGCTGACTACGTCACATGACAGTCACTATGCTTCACTGGGACTCACAGAAAGTGCTGGGGTCAAGCAGTCCACATACCAGCTCAGCCATGGAGTATTCTTAGACTTTATCCAGCCACATTGCCACATGCTCTTTGACCTAGCTCGAGTCATCCTCCATATAAAACAAGCCAAGATATCTGAGTGCCTTGGCCCTAAGCTCCTCACACTATCCAATCTCCCAGGAATCCCTGGTCTCCCACGGATATATGTAGTTCTCACCCTTCATTAAAGAAGTTTTTTTTTTTAAAGAAGAGGAAACTAAAGAGATCCACAACAGGTCTAAATATGGAGAAAAGTAACCAACTGATACATCTATAATTAAGTAGGGAAGATTGCAGAAGAGGAACTGGAAAGAATATAAGAGGCAGAATACTAGGTTGCTAGAGGGTATCTTCTACATATGACAGGGATAACATACCCATGAAATCTCAACAATACGGTTGCCTGCACAAGAACTCCATAATGACCATATAAGTTGGCATGCCAACATGGATGGGGAAAATTTCACAAGGTCCCATCTTTAGATAAAGAACTACAGGCAATTAATGGCTTCTGAGAGAGGGAAAACAAGAAAGAATATCGATGTCTATTACTTGATAAAATGATTATGGAATATATCAACAAAGTTTAGATTAAAAGAAACAGAGACCATGCAAAATGAAGGAAAGTTATTAGACATTTTAAGTATTATACTTTTAAAATTCTAGGATGAAAGGACACAACCATTGAACTGAAAATATGCAATATCCTTCAAAATGGGGAAGTTGAGCTTGGTGGTGTAGATCTTTACTCCCAGTGCCTGGGAGGCAGAGGCAGGTGGATCTCTCTAAGTTCAAAGTCAACCTGACCTACATAGTGAGTTCTAGGCCATGTGATCTATACTATAATACCCTGTCCCAAAATAAAAATAAATAAATATCAATGAAGAAGAATGAGTCAAAAGCAAGTGAGAGATTAGTGGTCCCAATACTCTCTCCAAAGGCCAAACAACATAGGTCCATGGGTCAAACTTGTCTCAGTCTCTGAGGATTGAGCCTCCACTTCATTTTCGGAGGCCAGGCTTCTCTCTCCCAGCAGGTCTACAGGCACACTATTAAACCCAAGAAAATAACTTCTCAAACTCTAGGACAGAATGAAGTCAGATTTACTTGGTGTATTGGATTTGCTTGGGCTGTCACCCTTTTATGTTTCTATGGTCTACTACTTCCTCTCTACTCTGTCCTAAAAAACTTTGAAATGTATAGATTCATGAGTTTACAACTTAGGAGGCATTTGTGCTGGGGATCAAATCCAGGCAAGTCTTTGCATACACTAAGCAAGTTCTCTACCACTGAATGGTAGTCCAACTTCTAAAGAAAATGTTTCTTGAGACAGAACTTTTTTTGAATTACTTTCTAATTGACTATAGATGTGATGAGACTAATTCCTTGCATTCCTGCCTTGACTTCCTGGAAATAATGGACCTGGAACTGTAAGCCAGGTAAAGCTTCTCTCCCTAGAGTTGCTTTTGGACAGGTTATTTTATCACAGAAGCAAAAATGAAACTAGAACACCAGACCTGTCTGAATGTGGCCCCTTTAATTTAATTCACTTATTCTGATTCTAATGGCTAATAATAGCTATAGGTCAGGATAAAAGAGTCTAAGCTACCTGTCATGACCTTACAGATGCTTTACAGTCTTGAAGTGGTCTGAGAACTCCTCTATAAAAATGGGATACCTGGACTACCAACACGGACAGGGTATCACTGTTGTAAAACGAAGTATCAAAACTACTATTAGCCTGATCTTACTAAATAAATTAATGAAGACCAAAGAGATGTGGTGACTGACTGACCTATATCTAAGTGGGGCATAGAGAAACTGAAATTGAAACCAATTATTTTCTTTTAATTGAGCTTTCTTTCTCTCCACTACATGGAATGTGTCACACCATCCTCCCTCACTATTATGAGAGTATACTTAGCCTCAAGATATTGTTAAAGCTCTCATAACTGATAGAATCTGTAATATATGAAGTTCTGTGATATATTCATTCTTCATTTCAAGAAACACACAATGAAAATGTGCTCTGTGGTACACCCTAAACTAGATGTGGAATTGTGTTAGGTATTCAAGAGAATCACTAATGAGAAATTCTCTCCTTTTTTTCATTTCCTTCTTTCGTGTGTGTGTGTGTTGTGTTGTGTTGGGGGCGGTGGTACTGAGGGCCTTCTGAACACCAGGCAAGTGTTTCTCACCCCTGAATGATTCTTCTTCAATACATATCTAGAAGTAAAACCTAGATTTTTTCTAATTAAAAATCATTTTATTTTGCTTGTTTGTTTGTGGGAGGAGCCACATGTGAGGTCAGAGGATATTATGTGACATTTGGTTCTTTCCTTCTACCATATGGGTCCTAAGGACTGAACTCAGGTCAGCAGGCTTAGTATCAAGCACTGTTACCCACCTGAGCCATCTTGTCAGTCCCAACCTGAATTTTTCTAAAAGACCCAGAATTCTTCATTTGAAAAGGGTTGTAGGAAACCACATTATCCATTTCCTCTCCCTCAAGAGTTGTGCCCAGTTTGAGTCAGTAAAATCAGACCTAAAAGAACAGAGCACAGAAGGACTTATTCGATGTATATGTCTATCTATGAAGGGGGGGGACAAGACACATTTTTAATTAACTCAGTAACTCCAAAAGGTAGATCTTATTATCTCTACAATCAGGGAAATCAATCTGTAAAAAATTAAATATGTTACCCATGATCATAATAAGTTTCTGAGCTGAGCTAATGTTTGAACTCATACACTCTGGTGTCAAAATTTCCAGTATTTTAAAATTAAATTTTCACTTAGCATATACAGTAATGGGCATCATTATGGCATTTTCTTATAAGCATTATGCTTTGTTATTATTTGTTCCCATCCCTATCTTCCATACCCCTTGTTCCCTGCCCACCCTGGCCGGTTCTCTTCCTTTCCCCTCATGGTTCTCCTATTCTGATTTTTTTAATCACATGTATTCCATTATGCTCTCTTCCAACCCCCTTAAGATCGCTTCATTTTGTGGCTTCTACATTCTTTTATAACTATTAGGCATATTCCCAAAATGTCTATATATAAAGTGGACAACAAGGGGAAGTTAAGAGGAAGGAAAGAAAGCAGAACACCAGCTAATTTCCATCTAAGCTCATAGACCTTATCACATCCTGTGACGCAGGGAAAGCCTGAGTTTTCACAAGGAAGAGATTAAACGTGCACTCTTATTAGAGTTTTTTCAAGGGTAGCAGAATTCAAAGTGTTTAGTTTTTTAAGTATTTTTTTTTGGTCTCTTTAATTTCATCTCAGCTAGACAGAAAATGGAAAAATTGTAGGACTTTATGTTCCAAAACTGTTACTCATACTAGCTCCACCCCCACTCCCACTGCCACCCCCTTAATACAACAGTCCAAGAAATAATGCAATGTACCTTTTGGAAAAAGTGACTTTATAGTTGTTTTGGATCCTAAGAAATATCCTTTTCTTGTCTGATGATTTCTCACCTTAACTTCCAAGCAAAGTGTTTCCTAATGCAAAACTTCTGCTAGGGAAAACTACTTCCCAGTTCTTCCCAGACTCCAGTGGATAGTAATACTGGAAACCTCCATGGCTCTTCCAGCAAATGGGACAGAGGTGGGCTACCTGGCCAATGGCTTCTGCGATAAGGTTTCTGGGAAAGATGTTATTCTGCAGGAACACAGCTTTCAGACCTGCCTCCTGTCACGGTCGTAAGGGTAAATGTTGGAAGAATAGATGGAAGAGGGTGGACAGAATGAAGATAAGGTATATGAATGTTCCAAGTAGAGGGAGAAGAACATGCTGTGTAACTCTTTTGTCTTGCTTCCAAGTAATAATACCTTAAAATAATTGTGGAGACTCTGATTCGTTGGATATATTGTATGAGATGTCACTACAGAACTTAGCCATCTATCTCAAAAGCTTCAGGTATTTATCTTGCCTTGCCTTTCTTGCTAGGCAGAGAACACTAGAAAAGAATAGGTCTGCCATATTACAGTGCTAGCCTTTTGGTAAACCTTTACATAAGGTTTTGTTAATTGTGAGTCATTCCTCCATTGCCAAAAAGTTCTTTACCTGGCCAAATCCATAGTCTTCTTGGATGCCAACAAAGACCAAATCCCTTCAGCTGGTCTTCCTGGTTGGACTTTGACTAGGAGTTCAGTAATGTTCAATCATGCTACAGTAATTTCTTGTGACAGTCTCCTGAGGAGCCATCAGATGGGATGAGCCTCTGGTAAAAGCCTGAGAGTGAGTAACTCCAACATGCTTATCCTTACTAACTAACCCTATAAGTAATCTATTCACACCCTGAAGCAAATGTTTCCATTTGTCTGGCATTATCTGGCAAAGCTACATTTTCATTTTTAAGGAGAAAAGGAGTATCAGTAAGCTGCTTCATGCTTTTGAACAAGTTCAGGAGGGAAGAAACCTAAGACTCATAGCAGAAACGTATAGAGAAACTAGAGGCAGAAGATTTCAGCTGCTGTCATGGTAAACACAGAATGCATTTGAAGGAATAAGGTGGGGCAAGTAGGAAAAAATGACAAGGACTAAAAAAAGGTTTCATCAGTTGTTTGCTTGTCAGACAGCCCAAGAAATGACTTTGTATTTGGGAAGCTAAATTTCTGCCTCTAATATTTTTACACAATTCCAAAATGCTTGTTCTATATATCAAACCTCACATGTAGTTTAAAGAGTAGAAAGATAGGACTAGAAAACTTCTCTTTGCAACATCAAAAAAAAATGTGAAGACTAAGGCCCAGGTCTTCCATTCTGAGTTCAAGATGAAACATGAAGCATTCAAGATGCAAATGTAAAGTTCGGTTGCATGAACAAAAGCATAATGTTCATCAGTGAGCCAGTATTTATATTCTAGTCTAAGCTGTTAAGGCCACAAGTATGCTGGGTATGGGAGCATCTCCTATAATCCCAGCATCGGCAGAATCTGAGGGGCAAAACCAGAAAGATCAGGAGTACACAGTCAGCCTTGGGTACACAGGGAGTTTGAGGCCCACCTAATACATATATCTGTCTCATAAGAATATAAGAGAGAAGGAGGGAGGGAGGGGAGAGAGAAAGACAAGGAAAGATGATACTTGATATCAATTGTTTACTGCTAGATATCATACTTCACAAACAACAAAACCAATTCAAAGTGGAATCCCCGACTTTAAAAGCCAAGATAACAGGAACACAGAGTTACAGACAAGCCCACATGGAAGAACTAAGAAACATACTACTGCCTGAATACAACTGATCTTGTCTGAGTGTGGAAGCTAAGTTAGGTGGGCCTGTGCAGCACTTGGATGAGAGAAACTGTTGTGGCCAGAACCAACCATGACAATTGAGTTTTACCCAGTAACTTATGGCCTGTCCTTTAATTTAGTCTCAGCTAGACATAAAATGGAAGAGAATAAAAATGAAGATGAGGCAGAAACAGATGGGTACTTCAGAGGAAAAGCATTATCAAGCCAACATTCACTGTCCCCTTAAGGTTTTCCAGGGCAAGAAGAAGCAGTACTCTTCCCTCTGTCTTCAATGGACTCACAACATGAAGAAACCACACTAATCTATAAAAAATTGCATCCTCAAAAGTCCTTGACTCTACTAACCCTTCTAGTCAGTCTCTTTCTTGATGTTCCACAGAATTGAGCATGGAAGAGTCTACACAAAGATACTCCAAGCGAGTCAAGAAGTTTGATGTGGGCATGCTTGTTTTCCCAAGAAAAGATTAGTTTGCTAATCTCAATTAATGAGTCAGGCAGACCTTACTAGGAAGTCCTAAATGAAGTTACACTCTTCTCCAAGCTGTATTCTCAGTTTGCAACACCTATCCCAATTAAGTTCTATTTCTTCGCCATTGTTATAAATTCCCTAAATTTATTTCTCATTCTGTTATGCAAAACCTCCCAGAATTTGGTTTAAATATCTGTCTAATCATACTTTTAAGAACTTCAGTGAAAAACTTCTTTTATATTTGTCTTTCTGGCCACCAGGGCCTCTCTTTTGAATCTTCTCTTACCTGCTGGATTGTATTCTACAATCCTTCTACAGTGTCTCTCACTACTGCTACTTTCGTTGTCCCTCTTCTTACATTATTTTTATTTTTCAGGACCAATACACTATTCCCAAAGTACAGTAACAAAGCTCTTCATCTATGCCTGCCTATACTAGATACCCCAAAGATAGCTGTACCCTTTACTTGTTACTTAGTAGATGTTACCTTCTGCCTTTCTTTCTCTTCCTATCATCATAATCAATGCTGACTGATCAATAGGTAAGAGACACAGTAGGGAAAAAGCCTGTGTTTTCTAGAGAACTGTTCACTTCAAATACCCACCTAAATTTTCAGATGGCATGTTCTAATTTTTGTTTGGAAAATATGGTCACCATAAGTGTAAGGTATCCATGAAAAATACATAGTACATAGGTCCATGTAATTCAGTTTGAGAGACAAAATGTCCTTAAAGTTCTAGAGGCATTCAAAGACAATACACCAGAGAGGACCAATACATAGACAAGTTTTAACAGATTGAGTTGAGTTGGGCCTTGGGAGATATCTGGATACAGTATGCATGAGATTTGGGGTTAGGGTCATCATCTCAGCAAATTAAAAAGCCATTTGTATGAGTATAAAATATTGCTAAGCTGCTTCTTATGACATTGGCCAGTTTCTTGGCACCAGTAATGAATGCTGAGATCAGTTGTCAAAAGACTTTGCCCAATCTCTTGGTATCTCTTGACCCCACACCCCACATAGCTATCTCATTCCCTGACTTCATCTGAGTGGCTTCCTAGGATGGTCCATTTCCACTAGTCAATTAGAAGTCAAGCAAATTCACTTAACTATATACATCAAAGAGTCCCAACCAGTAACTTAATATGATTATAACACTCAAGGCCCAAACTCATTCAAACATTTTACTTTCATCTCTTAATTGATTTAGAGTAGTTACCTAGATATAACATACATCATTGCTGATGTAAACCAATAGGAAGATTATTTCAAAATAGTAAATGAAAATAGATAAATTCAGATAGGAATCAAGTATATAGATTAAACAATTACTATATATATATATATATATATATATATATATATATCAAGTTCCATTAGCTGATAAGTGAACAAGGCAAGAAAATTTCATGACAGAGTAAGATTGGTAGAAATGATTAAGTTTCTTTAACATGACTTACGAAAGCCCAAAGGAATTAGAATATTAAAAACTGGTTGGAAGTGAGCTGGGGAAAAGGCAAGGAAGCTTTGCCTAAACTTTTCATGAAGGAATAATAAAATTTATACAGGGCCTTGACTCACCTGACAAGTACAATTGCCTTTACTCTTCATTGTTTTTTTTTCTAATGCCTCTTAAAATAAGCATGTCCAAAACCTTGTATCACCAAATTACTGGCAAAAATTGCAGAAATTCTTGGAAACAATGAAAATCAACTAGTACTACTACTATAATTATTAACATCTAGACAAATTAACAGATAAATAAGTAAAATTGATTACAAAAATGTCATGCTACAGACCTGTCCTAG